TGCTCTTGAAAGAGCAGTTCTTGAGAGAACTCTCTCAGCCCCACCTACCTCACAGGGTGTCTGTTGTGGGGAGGGGAAGGAAAAGGAGTTTGTAAGCCGCTCTGAGACTCAGAGTGAAGGGCAGGGTATAAATCCAATCTCTTCTTCTTTTTCTTCAGTGGTACCTTATGGACTAACACAATTTTATTCCAATATAATATTTCGTGGTGTCCAATTCTTTAGATTCAGTGAAGGCCTCTTCACTATGCAATTTTGGAAGGGCTATGTAAAAAAAGAAGAAGCAAACAGCAGGATCAGGAGACCATGAAATGCAAGAAATACAGGGTGAAATGTAATCCTGTAAAATTAAATTCTAATACAAATAGAGAAATTATCACCAGTCATGCTAAGTTAATTTACACCTGTAAGGAGCCTGGAGACCCAGATTTTGCTATAATAACATTTACAGTGACTAAAAAATCCCAGTTCCTTTGTTCAGCCAGGAGTGGGGGGAGATAACAGTCAAACTCCGTAATAGGGATGGGCACAAACTGAACCACAAAACAAAATGTGTGATTAATTTTGCCCTATTCTTAGTTTGTGAACAGACGTTTGTGATGGGTCATGAATGTCCAAGAACTTTTAAAGCAGTTTGTGGCAGTTTATGGATGGAGCAGAAAGTAGGGGTTTAAATGGAATCTGAGTCCCTTTAAATCCCTGCTTTCTGTTCCCCGTGAAAGCTGCGGAAGTGATATTACAGCATCACACAATGCTGCATGTGCCTTGTCCTACCCACCAAAGCTTCTGGGGTTACCAGCCAAAGGCTGGCAAACCTATGGTAATTTTTTCCTTTTGGTTTACTTTCAAACAAAATGTACTCCTACATGTCTGATGTTGTGCAAAACTTATTCATTAATGGGGTTTAGTCATTCCTTGTACCAAAAGGTGGTTCTTGGGAAAGAAGGAAAAGACCATAGCTAACTGTATGTTTAATTTTATCCTGCCCTTCCACATAGGCGCTCAGGGCACATGGTTCTTCCTTCCTATGTTTTATGTTCACAGCGATGCTTTCAAATAGATTGGAATTTGAACCTCGGTTTCCTAGACCAACACAGACCTTGCATAAACATGTATTTAGCAGAGTAAAACATGTATATACCAGACTATTTCAGTGGGCAAAGGATTTCTCTTCACAGAATGTGACTTTTTCATCTCCCTCTCCTCCTGTAGCCCAAATACTTTCCCAATGCTCCTCCTGGGGCACAGACGAACCCCAGGAACAGCCATTCAGGTGGCATTTTTGGCTCCAGTGGGAGTGGGGAGTGGGAAAGTCCTGTTCCACAAGGAAAAAAACCCTCCACCCACAGAAATGCCCCCCTGAATCCAAGCATGTGTCACCTACTATATAAAGATCCCTGATTACTCTGAGCACATAATTACCTGAATGATGGAAACAGTCCTGAAAAGCTCTCTTCCCTTGATCACCTTCCCCATTTATGTTCTTTAATATGATGATGCCATTTTAATCAATGGGAAAACCCATCTCTCTGCATCAGGACGATGCTGTATTTCAAAAGAAAAACCCTAAGACAGTACTTTATTGTTATCTAGAGGAGAGCCAGCACAAGCCACTTTGTTTTGCTTTTTGTGGTATCAAAACAACAACAACAAAACCCTCTTGGTTTTTGACGCATGGTCAAGTGTGCTCTCAACATACCCTCTCTGTGTTATTCAAGTCCTAGATGAAAGATTCCCTCTCAAAAAGATGGTTTATTTTCTTCATTTATAACCCGCCTTTCTCCCCGGTGGGGACTGTACAGGATTAACCCACTCAGTCCAGTCCAGGAAAGCGAGGGAACCCTGTATCTTCAGCACATTAAACAACAGACCACGAGATTGTCTATATCCTCTCTGGTTTTCAAAACAATTTGCCACCAAAATCTCTTCAAGGGTCCCCACCTAACATTGAGAGCCAAGATTCCAAACTCTCAGTTGGCCTCTGGGACAGAATAATATCACAGGGTAGCTCTTTATGTGGTCAGCGTTAGACACAAGATTTTAGCCTTGGAGCGCAAGTTACAACATCAGAAGCAATTAGAAATAAGAAGGATCTTTATTCAGTACAGAGCATAGCAACAAACTATTAGAGGATACTGAAAACAAGAAAAACCTATGACTCTTTGCCTTAACTATACATTAAAGATACATAGTTACCAATTCAGGAACATCCAACAGTCCAAAATAGTCCAAGGGATTTTGAAGGGAAATCCCATCTTTGCACACCCATGTGCTCCAAGTCACAAAGCAGGTCTTTGTTTCCCAAGAGACAGCATTTCAGGTGTCATAAAACAGACAATGACAAGACGAGGAAGGGAGAGCTAAGAGACTCACTCCCATAGGGATCAATCAATTATACCCCAATTCCAGTCACAAATTAGCTGTGGCCATCAGCCAATTGCGAGTGGACATGGGTGTGCCCAATTGTTGGTTGCCATGGTTGCTAACATCAGGTTTGTGGGATTGGCTGGAAGTTTGGGGACCCTGCCTGCAGTCAGCTGACCCAAACTCCAGCTACTTCATTGTGCACATGACTGGTCGCAAGTGGGCCAGAGTGTGGAGCCTCATTGTCTGACTCTCTGGCAGAAAGGTGTGAAGGAATGTGGTATATGGCATAGCTATAAAGTTTGCTCCGGCCATCTGGCCCTACCATTTGGCTTGCAACAGGAAATAAGACACATCAGAATTTAATCACAGGAGAAGACATGTGAATATAGAAAGTAATATTTCTATACAGGGACCTAAAGGGGCAGTCCTCTCTCCTATGCTATTTAACATCTATATGTGCCCCCTCGCCCTGCTGGTGCAGAGTTTGGGGCTGAGTTGCTACCAGTATTCTGATGACACCCAGCTGTATCTGCTGATGAACAGCCTGCTGGCTGCATCCCCATCTAATTTGGCTGAGGGACTGGAGGCTGTGGCTGGATGGCTGAAACAGAGCTGACTGAGACTGAATCCATCGAAGATTGAGATCCTTAGCTGGGTGGGTGTGACCTGAGGCTAGAGTGCCAACTCCTAGCACTTGACAGTATACCACTAACACTGGCACCAACTGTCAAGAGCTTCAGTGTGCTCTTGAATACCTCCTTATCTATGGAAGCCCAGGTAGCAAATGTTGCCAGGCAGGTATTTTCCCAACTGTGCCAAGTCAGGCAACTGGCCCCCTTGCTATCTAACTCCAACCTTGCCACAGTGATCCATGCAACTGTCACCTCAAGGCTGGATTACTGTAACTCACTCTATGTCTCCTCTCCGTTTTATCTTCACAACAACTCTGTAAAGTAGGTTAGGCTGACTGTGTGTCAGTCTCCCAAGGTCAACCAGCACATTTCCGCCGCAAAGTGGGTATTCGAACCAGGCTCTCCCCGGTCCCACACTCTAATTTAGTCTAATGATTATTATCTTTAAATAAGATGCAAATCTTCACAGGAAAACTGAAACTCCTCAACATTCAACACAACCTACATCTTTTGTTCCATTCCCCCCGAAACACACATCTCCTTAAGATATGAAACTTCTGTTACCCGAGCTTCAAACAACGCCCCGCCCAATACTCTTTGGAGGCAAGTGCTCTCAAGTCACAGCCAGCTTTCGCCAACCCCATACAGTTTTCAAGGCAAGAGACAAAGAGAGGTGGTTTGCCATTGCTTGCCTCTGCAGAGAGACCCTGGTATTCCTTGGTGGGCTCCCATCCAAATACTAAGTAGGGCTGACTCTTCTTAGCTTCCAAGATCTGACGAGACTGGCCTCGCTTGGCCCAGACAGATCAGGGCCATATTCCTCTAGCGCCGACTATGGCATATTGTTAGCATCAGTGGTGTGCTTAAGTGCTGATCTCCGGAACACATGCTGTGCCGTCTTTAGGGAATATTGATAGACAGAGACATAAAGGAACAGGGCGACAAGGGAAACAGACCTGATCAAATTTATTGCAAGAAGTGACACTAACTTTTTCTCCCCCCAATAAGCTCTTTAACCAGGCTCAGGGGAGAGCCATTTTTTACGGTAGCTGGCAGCATTCATGACTCTGCTTCAGGTCTTGCTTAAATAACTGCTGCCACTTGTCACTGATCTCCACTGAATGCTATCTGGTTCCTATAGGTCAGCTAATTACCCTAATCATTAACCTTTAAGAGTGCACGGGCTATGGTGATCAATGCCACCCTTGCTGTGTTCTCCTCCTCTAATGAGTCCATGTCAGAAAAAGAAACTCTCTGACCTACCTCTGGTGACTTTTTTTTTTTTGTACCGTTAACCTTCTTTATCATTCTGCTTCTTGTAAGAGGACAGAATATGGCAACGGCCATGAATCAGCTTATTAAAAGTAATATAGGGACAAAAGAACTGATTTTCTAACAATGGAGTGCAGAACTCAATAATTCATATAATTTTCTATGAATCATGTCAGGGCTTGGGTTGTTGTTTTATATATATATAAAAAAGAGAGAAGGCAGGGGATTTTTTGTCGCTGAATTTCTATTCTACCTTTCTACTGAAGAAGCTGTAAATAGCACATACGAAATCCCCACGCCCCTTCTGTTGAAGTCATTGACTAGGAAGGGGGTCCCTGCTTCAATGAAAGACCCCTATGAGATCTTGCCCCAACCTCAGGCAGCCATGGCCGTAGCTAAAGCCTTTCTAGTGGGGGGGGCCTTGGGAATGTAGGGGGGCCGAAGTGTGTGTGC